GTGTGTGTGTGTGTGTGTGTGTGTGTGTGTGTGTGTGTGTCAGTGGTTTGAGGAGAAGCAGCAGCACTTTGAGAACCTGGATGTTCAGCTGAGGAAACTTCACGTCAGTGTGGAGTCTCTGGTTTGTCACAGAAAAGGTAGAACGAACTTTTTTCATTTCTGTTTCTCGTTTGTGAAGTTTTCAGAAACTCGGTCACGTTTTTTTCTTTGTTTGATTTTAACAAAAGAAAATATTTCTTTCTCTTCTTCTGTTGTTAGAACGTTTTTAAAAACCTTGAACTCATTTTCTCTTAATGTGAAGACACGTGATGTCACTGATGTTTGCTCCGGGCTCTTGAGCGTCTCCTCTCGTTCTCCAGAGCTCTCTGTGAACACGGCGCAGTTCGCCAAGTCGGCAGCCATGTTGGGGAACAGCGAGGACCACACGGCGCTCTCTCGAGCTCTGTCCCAGCTCGCTGAGGTGGAGGAGAAGATCGACCAGCTGCACCAGGACCAGTCCAACGCAGACTTCTACGTCTTCTCCGAGCTACTGGGCGACTATGTCCGCCTCATCACCGCCGTCAAGGTACGACCACGTCCTCGTCTTGGGCTCAAACCTGTGTCAGGAAATGTCAGAGCCTCCAAAGAACAGTGAGACAGTAACTGTCCTGATTGTCTATGAAGACGATCAAGTACTTTCCAGAAATGAAAATGAATAAATCTGATACGAACGCTGCCAAATATGTCAGACGCCATCTTTTGGGAAACGAATCAGATTTTTTTAGTTTGGTTCATGTCCCATCTGCTAACATGGAGGGTTAATGACCGGTACTACAGCCAGCCACCAGGGGGCGATTGAGACGCTTTGGCTTCACATTTAAGAAGCTCTCATATCGTCCATCTTTATTTAAAGCCTGTGTTTTGCATGTTTTTCTTAATTTCACTGAGTCGCTGCTCCACACGTAACACCTGAGTCCAGGTACGAACGAGACAGGAAGTGGGACAGCACACTGGAGTACAGTAGAGTACTCTGGAGTACAGTACACTGGAGTACAGTAGAGTACTGCAATTATTTGTCAAGTATTTGCTGAATGAATGAGTTGATTATAAAAGTCTGTGTTGTGTTCAGGGCGTGTTCGACCACCGGATGAAGACGTGGCAGAAGTGGCAGGACAGTCAGATGCTGCTGCAGAAGAAACGAGAGGCTGAAGCCAAACTTCAGTTCACCAACAAACCAGATAAACTGCAGCAGGCGAAGGACGAGATCAAAGAGGTGAGACGAGGGGGGGGGGCAGAACAGTAATAGATAAACATCAGCCACTAGAACGTCAGAAGAACTAGAACCTCCACCAGGACCCAACATCGTCCTGATGAACCCACATTTGAATTCACTACATGTCAACAAGACACCGTGTGGACGAGCTGTAAACAACAACAACACAATTTATACATCATGTCCCGCCTCCTGCTGCTCTACAGGCTCCACCCCTCACCTGAATGTCCCCACATGTTCCTGTTGTTGTGAACGAGTCGACAATCACACACACTGAGTACACAACATGTCTACACAACATGTCTACACAACATGTCTACACAACATGTC